GATCAATCGCCCTTAACAAGAAACCATTTCTTGAAATAAAGAAAACAATCTGCGCAAATCTTGGCAGAACATCTTCTTTCCATCTGCGCATGTTCAGATCTGATTTTCTTTTGGTTCAAGATTCGAACCTGTGGCTCTGATACCACTGAAAGAATTGTAGGATCTATCTAATGGATGCCAAGAAGGTTGCAGAATGGATGGGCGAATTTCAAAAATCTTTCTACCTTCTTCCAACTGGGAATCATATTCCCTAAATTTAGAATACAATATTCAATTATCCTACTTGAACCATAATTGAACCATATCTGAACCAAAGAGAAAAGGGAGCAGCCAATGATAATTATCTATCTCCCAAGTGTATCAACTTCTTGTTCTGAAGGCTTTGTATGGTTACAGTGCAATTTTTTATTTGTACTAGTACAAATGCATGGGACTGCAAATATAAAAAATGCAAATTATTGTTTAATTTTGTTTTGGATTTTACCTTATTTTATTTTATTTGTACTGAAATCAAACAAAGTAAATTAAAATTTATAACAAAAATAGGTCAGAATTTACACTCAAATCATTTGCATTGTTATGATTTTGCATCAGTACAAATTTATTTTCATTGCAATCAAACACAGCCTTAGGGCCCATGAAAGGAGAGAGAGTTCACATCTAAAAACCTATACAACCAAACACAATTCTAAATATAGTCAAAATTTTTCTCTTTTAACAATTAGCAAATCACCATCACCRGAACCGGAAGCATTTTCTTATTTAGTGGTACAGCTTTTCTTTGTAGGCCTAGGATCAGTCAGTGGTCCTACACAAATGGGACAATCCATTACATCAGCCCATATTCATTAAAAATTCGGGAGGGGGTTGATTGGTTGAAGTTCTAGAAAATAATACATGAATAAAAGCATGATTTCATGGATGCCCCACTTGTATATGTACATAGATATAGGTGTTATTAAAACAGGTAAATGGTTCAACCCATGATTTTTAAAATCGGATTAGATCGGACGGTCGGATTAGAAAAACTAGGAACCGGTTAGGTGATCGGTTTTGGTTTTCCCTAAAATTGGATTTTCTTCAAAAACTGTTGATTTTGGTCAGCAAACCGTTGATTCGGGTGGTTAATCGTTTGAACGGTTTTAACCTTTTTTTTGTCAAAACGGGCTGACCGTTCGGTTCTAACGGTCAGACTGTTCGACCCGATAACTGGACCCTTGACCGATTCAATCTCCAGGTCGGTTTTAAAAACCACGGTTCAACCTTATCAACGTATCACCCTGTATTGGTACTTTTTTTTTCAAATCTGATTCAGAGGAGCCAATTTAAGGCCGGTCTACCCCCTGAACCACTCACCGACCCAAAACACCCCCTATAGGGATGTACCGGAAGGCCTCGATATGATAATATATATACGGGCCGATATATGACGGAATTTTGAACTTTGGGTTCAACTGCCCATGTTGTCAGGTTTCTGACTAAGTTTTTGAGCAATGGCAGGTTAAGGATGAATCCGAACCCAGCAGGTGGTGGATCAAATGGTTGGACTGGCCGGATTAAGGGCTAAAAACACTGGCTACTTACTTGTCATCCCTAAATTGGGTCAGTTGGCAAGCACCATTTCAAGACTGTCTTCAATAACGTGCTAACTTTGGGAGTGTTTAAAAATATAGGCCGGGATCAGTTCACACCAATAAACACTTATTTGAGTTTGAGAAATAAGTTTGGAATAAATGCTTATTCTGATAATAAGCACTTATTTGAAAAGCCTAAAATTTAAGCTTATTTTAAGTGATTATTCAATAAGTGCTTATTTCCTTTCTTGTCTACCTTAGCCCGTCATGTCATTTTAAAAATACATGCACTACCTCCATTTCCATAAGTGTTTTTTCACCAAACGTTATAAATATTTATTATAAACACCTGTTTTTAATTAAACACTTATTTTTCAAATAAAACACCCAAACTTGGCCTAAGCGAAGGCCTCAGGAAACCCATCTCTTACCTCCACTTAAATTTGGATATGGGAGGTTTTAGTGACGGGATTCAGTCAGAGCAAAGTCCACTCGAACGGCCATCAATGCCTTATATTGGAAATATCTCCCAATGATAGAAGTACGGAGATATTCCCGATGAAAGGTTGTAAAGACTGTTTGAAGGGACCTTGATCTAACTGAAGCCGATCTCTTTATTGCCAAGGTTGGGAGTTATCTTGGCAATTAATTTGTTATGGTGTTAGCCTGTGTTCCTTTTTTACGCTCCATAATCCAAATCTGTTCACGCCATTTGCAGAGATCTTGCAAGTTTCCTCTCCCTGTCTGTTCGGATTCACTTGCGGTTTTTTATCAGCAGTTTAATCCATCTCTATTTGTCAATTAGTTGCATGTTCACGTCTAATTTTCTGTTTTTCTTTGACTGATTTTGCTGATGGATGTCTTTGTCGTAATCTTGTTCAATGAAAATTTGCCTTTTAGGCGTCCAAAAAAACAAAGAACAGGGATTGGCCACAAAATTCAAATTGCAATCTTTAACATTCTTTCCCTACAGAGTTGCAAATAAGAAGTTCAATTCGGAAAGTCCGTCCCGGCTCATAAATTTGAACCGGCTCGGTGGTTAATTCTTATCCCGATAGGCCGATAGAGTTTCAAATAAGGATGTTACCCGACTTTTCTTTTCTTTTTCTTTTTTTATTAAGCATCTGAGACATCCACGCTACCTAATGTGCATGCAAAAGTCAAAACCATGAAATGAAATGAAATGATGTTTACGTATAGTATAATATAATGTATTAATTTATAAGTACCCCGAGTCTGGAAATGGAGGGTTTTATCTCTAATTGTAGATGGAAAATTACGAAATTTTCTGTGAAGCTAAGGTCGGCGCACTAGAGGATTCAGCTCAATCCATTAGCCTGTCAAAATCAAAACTAAAATTTGACTAAATCAGGATTTGGTGTTTTGTGATTTCAGACTCGATGCCAATTTACAAGAGATATAGAGCATTACTAGAGAAAAAGTATCTTCTTAACCCAAACAACCTCATCTAAAATTTAGGATAAGTTACTGAATACTTTTAAATTTTCACTTACAATTAGGAAATGTGGACCAAGCTATCTGTTAAAAAAAAAAAAAAATCTAATGAGAACTTGTGCCACTAACCCTATTAAACTTCTTTCTTGTTTTTTTCTAAAATGGCTCTTTGGCAACATCCAATGGCCTTTGTTATTGATTGTTATTTTTTTATTGATTGTTATTAGGGAGAATGACCGTTCAGCCCAAGGGTAGAATTTTTAAGCCCAAAGTACAGTTAGGGTAGGTGTCAGCTCAGAATTGATGCCAATTCACGGATGGGTATTGATGCATAGAGTGGGAGTATTTGACATTTTGAATGTTTATAGGTCTGCAGTGGAATTCAAAAATCTGCGGTGGGCCTTCCCGTACTTCTCCTGTTATTATTGTTAAAAGCTCTATGGAATATCATCATCAGTAGCAGCAGCAGCATCATCTAAACTTTGCCTCAACTATATGAATGATGAATCCTGTTTCATTATTCCATTCTCCTCATTGTTATATTCATCATTGTGGATGCTTAAATCATTTCTTATTATTTGCATTGGAGTCCTTTTTAGTGTGTCATTAACTCTTCTTGCTTCATCAAAGATGAATTGGGTTTCTTTATTTATTTTTCCTCTAATTGTTATACTTACACTGTTAAACTACATTTCTATTTTTTCTTTTTTGTCATGATTTATACTTGTTTCATTAATTATCATCCTAAGGCCCAAAAAAATAACCATTATCCATTTTGCTTTCCAACAACATGATTTTACGGAGCCCATTTTTCAGTTAGAATGTCAAAGGAGAAGGAATATAAAATGGAATATTCTTTTCTTTGTAAGTATAAGTAAGACAGAAAAAGAGTTTGTGATAAGATTAGAACTTATTTGGCACAAAATAAGGAAAATCAATGCTAAGAGTTTCCTGCACTGTACTTGGTGGACATGGTTAATTAAAACCACAACTTCTCTGTAATTAACAGGACTCCCAAACTCAGAGGAAGAGGAATGATGAAGGAGAACAATGAATTATTCAGTTGCAAAACGAATTGCAAGGAAATTAGCAATTTTTAGAAGCTAGGCAAAATTTCCATTTCTTCCTATTTATAAATGCAACGAATTCAAGGTGGATTGAATCGAAATAAGTTGCAATCTTAACAAAACTGTAACAGTGATTTGTTTATGCAACAAGAATCTTGAAATTCAACACTGAGTACAAGCAATCCCAAGGGTTCAAACTCACCCAGAAAGAGGAATGAATCAAAAACTTAATCTTTACCTGTATGTGTGTCCATATAACCAATTTAATATGAAGATCACTTAATATGTAAATCTGTTGATATTTAAACAGAAAATTCCGAAGCTGAAGCTTGCAAAGTGGGTGGATTGGAGCTCAATCGAGATCCAACCTCAACTGGCCGTGTCTCCATGAATTCACTTGGAACCTCAACTGAGTGACTACTTTCCTCGCCCACAACCATACCAGCCTTCTGGGGGTAAGCACTGGTTCGACAGATTGGACAGACGGGTGTCTTCAATAACCATGAATCCACACAGTTAGCATGGAAGCTGTGCTTGCAAGGAAGTAGTCTGCACTTGTCACCTACCTTGAAATTCTCCAAGCAAACAACACAGTCTATGGGACTACTCCCCTTTTCTCCTGCTCTGAAATCAAAGCAAGGAAGCCTCTGCAGATCATCATGCGACATGCTGTTAGCTCCACCGTTGGCCCTCTCAACCAAGTTTTGTCTAGTGAACCCTCTCCTCAAAGCCCTCCCAACTATACAGACATGAATGAAAACCACAACACAGATACCCAGAAATAGCAATATCACAGAAAGGACGACTGCCATCACCACAATCTCTGTTGCAATTCCTACAACCTTGTTACTCATTAAATTCCCTTTGCACACCGAAACTCCAATTTATCATCCCAAGTATCCCAACAAATCTAAATCCCCAGAAACCATTCACAGTCGTGTTCCTATTCAATTTCCCTTGACATCCAGGACTATTCTTCTCATCCAAGCTCAGAAACCTTAACCGTAATCCGATTACACATTCAGTTGATCACAACAGACAGAACCCCATCAAATAGACTATCAGTTCTATCTTCTTAGAAACCCATATGAATAACAATCCTGAGTTTTAAGACTCTTAACCCAATCTGTTCCACATGTATTAGCAGAGAACATAACGGGTCTACAGGTGATCCATGGTATCAAAATGAAAGAAACCCAAATGCACAACTTGAAAGAAAATTCAGAAAAAGACACAGACAAAGAATTAAAAAACAGAACTTACAAATGTTCCCTCGGGTCTGAAGTTTGGCAGGATTGCAGAATTTAATGGAAACCGGGTATTTGCACTTGTTACAGGTGGAGTGGTTGTTCTTTTGTTATTTTAAGACTAAGAAATTCCTGACAAGCGTCAGTAGGTGACCAATAACATTGAGATGGAGTTAAGAGGATATTTAATGCTTAGTGGGAGGTGGTTTGATCGTTTTGATGGAGTGGATGGGGAAGGAACCAAAGATAATAGATGGAGTGAGAACACAAGTCCTGGGAAGATTGCGAAGCGCCTCTTTTTTTTAATTTTCCTTATTCTATTGCCTTTTTTTTTCTTTTCTCACTGCATAGTATATACTCTTGAGTCTTGATTATGATTCTATCCTCTCAGATGTGCCAAGAGAAGTATAGAAGGTGAACCACTAAGGATCATTAATGGGTTTATTTCCTCGTCAGATATCTCAATAATGAAAATACACATTACAGGGTGAAACATATAAATCAATAATACTGTCCTGTTCCTCATATTTCTTTAGGTTGCGTTTGGAATCGGTGTAAAATGTCACCGGTGTAAAAATACATTGAATGGTGAGTGATTATTGCTTTTTGAAAAATGTGATGGGTGGAAGAGTGTAAAGTTTTATATTGATAAAATAAATATAGTTTTTACATCGATTATTGATGTAAAAATTTATGTTTAATGAGATTTTAAAATTCTATTCCATCCAAATACACATAAAACTTAATCAGAGTGGAGTTTTATGTCAACCATAAATACATGCTCCTTCCAAATGCTTACAAAACCGAATCAATATAAATTTTACATTGATTCTTGATTTACATCGCTTTGAAATATTTATGATCAATGGATGTGAGTATAAGATACATCTCTAACACATAATTTATGTAGATCGGGAATCACCCACCAATCTGGGGCATCCACTCTCAAAGATTGCAATTGTTAAGACCATCCCCATCAAAACTATTTGATTGGTATTTTGGTGAAAGCAAAGGACATCGATGCCTATTGTTGAACGGAACTGATCGTTTTGTTACTTTATGTATTCATATTCATTTTTTATTACATTCTCTTTTATCTGTTCCATATATTGAAGGGTTTCAGCCCATTTATTCAAGGGCCCATTCCTAACTTTGAGCTTTCACTAAAGAATGCAGAATTTTTTATCTCGTAGGATATTAAAAGAATATTGTAGGAAATCAATCTTATAAACGGAACTGTAAATTCCATTTGTCCAATTTGAATTTAAATTGGATTCGTGTAAGGCAATATGATTTCAATCCGTTTATAATTCGATATCCACCCAAATCCTATATGATATTTAAATGTATGTATGCATGTATACATAAAATTGGCATGTTCATATATAAATAAAGTTGATTTGAATTTTATATCTTTAATAAAGACTCATATGTCCGACTCTCATCCAAATTCAATCAAAATCCCCGATAGACAAAATTGAATTCAAATCCAAATGATAACAAAGCAAATTATCTAGGCAGGTCTAACTCATTTGCAGCCCTACATAAATTGGTCTATTTAACGAAAATTCGAAGTGAAGCCCATTATAATTGTGGGCCCATATTCCAATGGACCAGGCTGGAAGCCTGGTCCGCTTGTCTATTCAGAATCAAAGTTTGTTAATACTGGTTGATACTGTGGGATCCCCGCCCTACGAGGACCTTAATCCCCGCCACGTGGGATCCCCGCTAATATATGTCTTGCTCTTTCACCATTAATACTTGTTGATACTGTTCTCATCCATTTGTATGGATGCCATTGTTGCAAACATAAACAACTCTATGTTAGTATTGCACTTGAAACTAGAGTCAAGGAAAAATAAAATATAAGCCTTAACCGCCAATGATACTGTTGCTTTTGTCAGTGGATCTTCTCGAGGAGATTGACGACGATTTTTCCGAGTTCTTCGCCGACGGCATCTGCCAGTCTACTCTCACCAAGCAATCCCCGATCAAGCTCCATCACTGTAAATTCAATTTTTTGTTGTAGGAGAGACACGCACCTTCCTGCTACAGAACTCGAGGAGATTAGCATCAATTTTTCCGAGTTACTCGCCAACAGCATCTACCAGTCCACTCTCGCCAAGCAATCCCCGAGCAAGCTCCACCACTGTAAATTCTGAGAGATACTCAACAAATCTGGGCATCCAACCTTTCGTTGATCTTGGGAAGCGCTTCAACCTTCTATAGATCTAGGCACCTTTTCAAGTGAGTGAGTGAAAGAGGGGCCAGAGGTGGAGATGATGAAAAAATAGAGGAGAGAAAATGAATGGGAAGGAGAAAGAGAGAGAGAGAGAGAGAGAAAGAGAGAGGGGGGCTGGAGGTGGAGAGTAAGGGTACAACTAGTCAATCGTAAAAAACAGTAAAGGTACTTTAAGACAATACTAAAACAGTAAAGGTACTTTAAGACAATACTGAAACAATAGGGGTACAGTTAGTCAATTTACTAAACCTTGAGGATAGTTACTAGTTAGTCAATTTCCTAAACAGTAGTGGTATATATTACTAATGATCCTTTGAATATGGATAATGACCCTCTTTCACTTCAAGTGCTAAACATTCCTTTGAAAGCATAAAAAAGAAACAAATATAAATGGATGGGGCTTGTCGCGGCAATCCTGGTGTAGGAAGAGGTGGGGGTTTACTTAGAAATTCTTTTAGATCTCTCATATTTGCTTTTCATTGTTACTATGATCAGTCTACGTCTATTCAAGCAAAATTTTTAGCTTTGTATGATGGTCTAAGCCTTTGTTGCAAAGAAGCTATAAAGAGATTGAGGTTGAAAGTGATAATAGGATAATTATTAACATTATAATGGGTAAATCGGATTATCCTTGGAATTCTGTTTACATCTTGTGCAGGATTAAGAACTTAGTGCAAAGAATGAATATTAGGTGGACCCATATCTTACGAGAGGGAAATCGTTGTGCCGATCTCGTAAATAACAAAGGAATTGGTGAAAGATACGAGCTTAAGGTGATCAATGGTAATTCCCAAATTCCTAGAGATTTGGCTCTTATTCACGAAGATAATTTGGGTTTGCCTATCCTTAGAATTAATTAGGTTTTGTTAGGCTTGTTTGCTTTGTTTTTCTTTGGGTCAGCCTAAGATGGTGAGGGAGAGCTATGTATGCTTGGGTTATGTGTGTGTATACGTATCTAATAGGATTATAAATTTTAATTATAAAAATAAAAATAAAATAATTAACATTATAAAACATCATGTGGAGTGGGGATCCCCACGGGGATGGAAATCCCCATGAGGACAGGGATGGAGACAACTTTGTCCCCATTAGCAGGGACAGGGATGAGGACGGGAATGGAAATTTTCAAAGGGATGGGGATGGGGAGGGGCTCCCCGTCCCTGCCCTGCCCCCTTGCCATTCCTATCCCGTTGTCATTCCTATTGTTATACTGGCTATGGGGCCAATCATTTTGTTCCACACCAGCCATATCCACATAGACCGCTCCTACTAAAAAACAATTAATCCGCTCCCATCTCATTTTGTTATAAACTGGAAACATTACTACGATCCTATCAAAAGACAAATAAACAGAAACATGTTTTTGTCCTTCAAAATATACATTTAATGTATGCATGTTCGTCTATGAAAAAAAAAAATGGAAGTGTTCATTGCTCGGATCACCAGCAAATTTGAGGAAACAAGAGCTAAGACAAGGTTTGCTATAATTGCTGTGACAGCGGATACGGTTCTCAAATGACAAATCTCAGTCCATGGTCTATTCACGAACAAGACCAAACAAAATGCCTGATTAAATATAATGTTGTTTATGAGGGTTGCTTCGATCACAAGATCGTAAATGTGATCACATCGATAAGGTCATGGATCGATATAGTCACAGATTATAGCCGCCAGGAAAGCATACATTATTAGGTGAAGATGTCAGCACTGGAAAACAAATTAACAATCGGCAAGCTCATGATCACGGGTTCTATCAAATCAAAGGTTACCGACCGTCATCAGATACTGACATAAAACCTTGGTGTGTTATTTTAATTATGTCCATTCCATCAAAGAGAGTGAGAGGACCAACTGCGTATTCTGACCAAGGAGGAGCTTATTTCAGAATAGTGCGAAATCTAGTCGTCTACCAAAATGTAGCACTGTAGCGGAGAGATGCCCCCTAAAATATAATTCATGCCAATAAGGTTGGCTGCCCTACCACTTCCTCCTACCTTTGTCTTACCAATTCAAGATGGTTCAACGTAGTAATAGCTTCAGAAGCTGACGAAAAGTTGGGATTGAACTATTATTGATAGCTTGCAGGGTTGCAGCAGCATTTCACATTTATTACCACATCTATTTTTGGCATCACCAGAGCCGATCAAAATTCTATTTCAATGTCTCAGAAAGCCACGAGGAAATTTAAAAAAAAAAAAAAAAAATGAGAGGACGATAACAACAATCTACATCGAACAAATCATATTGAGTAGGGGAAAATATGTGTATGATTCTTCAACCTCATTATAAGGTATGCCACTGTTTTGTAAAATTTACAGGTAAAAGTGAAACAAAAGCAAAAAAAAAAAAAAGTAAAAGATAAAGTAAAAAAAAAAAACAATTAAACCTCATAGTATGCTCTAATACCAGCTCTAATAATAATCAAAAAATTCTTTAATACCTTCTAATTAAGAGCCCAAAACAAGATCTCTAGTAATATTGGTAACACGAAGAACTGCTTGTGCACTTAGAGGAGAGAGTTTTGCCTGACAAAAGTGCTCCCAGGAACTTGTTTGTGGATGCTCAGATTCTGTAATCGACGGGGAAATTTGGGACTTCTCATATACAGTTTGCAGTTCTAAAAGAAGACTGCGAGCAGCCTCCCTGGACTCAGGAAGCTGGTCGCTGAGTTGGGAAGCAGCTACATGGATCAATTTATCAATCCCATAAGCATTGATTCCTTCCATTCCCTGTAAAACATGTCCAAAAAAAGGACCATTTAATGGAAATATATATAAAAAAAAATCAACAATTAACAGACATCTATAGTCTATACATAATCAAACAATATAATAAATATCCACCCAAATATACACTAATCCAACTGTGTCATTCTACTTTGTCTGGGGCCAAATCTTATTTTATGCAACTGAAGAGCCACTTATTGTGAAACATAAAACATGTCCTTGTCAAGTCTGAACTCACCCATAAAAAACTCGCTTTTAGAGATTATGAAACAAGAGCTACATATGGTATTATGCAGAAATATACACAAATCGGATGAAGTGGAAAAATTTAGAAAACAAAGAATCTTCTGAAAACAGCAAACACACTCAAATCAGAATTTGAGCCGGAGACAAGGACCCATTCAGTTTGTCGAGTCTATTTATTTGTAAGAGATTCCAGAAATTTGGTCCAAGACCAAATGGGAAGAAAAGATTATTCCATAAGCTTTGAAAATAAACATGCAAAAAGAGGAATTAACATACAAGTCTTGACGATGGTATTATTGCATTAAGCATCACTCCAAATTTTAATGCACGTTCAATATGATGAATGGCAGTCAATACCAATAAATAGGAAAATACGAATGGACTAAGAGGCGCATGGGCAATGTGGTTCACCATACCATCATCACCCAATTGAGGGAAAGAAGAGACTAAGACATTTGAATGTGAAGCCTCAGGATAAACCCAAACAATATGGGAATGTCTTAACAAAAATGCCCATTTGTGCACCTGCTCAATGGCATTCTGAGCCCCATTTATGGATGAGGATGAAGAATTAAAGCTCTCCACAAATATTCATACATTGTAGGATTGATTGGCTTTTTATCAGCTCTAGATTAATGTATAATGTACTCCATTATTTAAATCCTTGATGAGTTGGGTCAACATAAACCTCTATACCACTCTTGCTACCATTTTTTGGGGCCACAGAAGAGGTTAGCAAAACTTCTATATCCCATAGACCAGATTAATCCAATCTATCCTGCTTGCCTGGCGTTCACAATATGCATAACTCATTATAAGTCCAAACTTTTTTTATCACTACACATGAGCTTAAGCGATCAAGAGCCCACTATCATTATGGGTTTACACATTAAAGAGGTTTTTACTTTATTCCTTCCAAATAAAGAAACACTCCGGGACATAGAGATTCAATGCTTCTGAGGTAATTTGGCTATTACCCAATTAGGTTATAAGAGATGGGAATAATGGATAACTAGTTGAAAGCCTCCAAAAAAAGTTGAAAGAAGTCATCCGTCTTATTAATAATCACTTAAAAGAAAGCTGAGAACATACAACCTGTTAGCCATTTTCTCCACCTTTTTCTTCAAACACAGTCCAACTAAGAGGATGCTCCAAGAAATTCGAAATCACATGATCATAAGCCCTCTCGTGATAAGCTTAACTGCTGAATGTTCTAGACTGTATCTCAATACTTCTTCTATTCTCCAATTTCTCCACCTTTCCCCAGATCTTTCTTATTAAGGTGGTCCAATAAACTCAAAACTGCATGATAATAAACTATGGCCACAATAAGCTTGACTGCTAAACATTCTAGACTTAACCTAGCCTTTCTTCTTTGTATTAACAATAATTGCCACAAATGATCTATATTCCTTTTGCACGAAGCAGCTTGCCATGATCTTGTAGAGACTTCTCAGACCTTAAAAAATCCTCGTCAACCATACAACCTGACCTTTTCATTACCTATTGTGAAGTAGAAGTATGCATAAATTGTGATCCATGTAACTAGAAAACATAGGTCTAAAATCTAGGTTTGTGTATTTAGTATTTATCACATCAACACAAAGGGAATTATTTCATCTTGGATGGCAAATGGGATACTTTTTTTATAGGAAGTAGGTAGATTTATTTTCTGCACCCTTCCCAATAAGGGATCCTGGAACCATACCTGCTTTATTATCAAACACACAGCATACTGTCTCCCCAAGTCCCCAATCTCCACACATCACAAACCCTCTCACCCACACTTAAAAATAAATCAATATATTTTATATGCACAACTACTTCACAAATAGCTCAGAAATCATATAAAAAGTCTATTTAAAAATACAAAATTAACCGAATAAAATGAGTATATTACAAGAATGTCCCGTGAATGCTACTTAGCCTACTAGTATTTACACACGTCCATATGCATAAAAGACCAGATATGAAGGACTCTCCTTAAAAAAACATAGCTAGGTAAATAAATTTTAATTCAAAATAAAATATATGTAAAATGGCACAAATTCCACTCTAGCTCTCAAAGTGTGTTATTTCCTAATTCAAGTTACAAAGTCAGCTCATATCCTCTAACAGCAAATCAAATGTAATTTTAGTTTCCTAACTCAAATAAAAAAAACACCCAACCTAAGAGTTTTCAAGACGATGTTACATTGGTATGGGTCTTTGTGTCCTAAATAAAATAAAAAACTCAGTGGTCTCTGTGTCCTAAATAAGATAATAAAATCTCAGCTAAATGCTTCAAAACTTGCTGCTTGGATAGTGGGTCTTAAATAAAATATGTACCCACACGGATACACACAAATCAGTGAAAAGGCACGTGCAAATGTCAATAAATGGGAAAATATTATTTGGGCTTTATAAATCTTGTAAAAATGGCAGTCGCATTGACGTGAGGCTGCTTGCAAGTTTCAGAATTATATAATAAAGATATATTATACTACATCATGTTAGGGAGCTTTTACTGAACAGAATGTCATGTAGCTGCCCCATATAGTTGGGACAAGGCTTAGATGATGATGATGATAATGATAATGATAATGGTGAGGATGATGGTGATGGTGATTATGTCAGGGAGTTTTCCTATGCAACCAACCCTATTTCTGTCACATGGAGAGCACTTGTGGCTGATCCCAAGCATCCATCAAACATGGGACTGACTGAATCAGCTACACATCCAATCCCACAGTCCATATGAACCATATATCCCACCTTCTGTTTGTGATTTTTGTGGTTAACATTAACTGTTCAAAGTTTTATTTTAACATAAAAATCACCTATCAAACTGGACATTTTTTATCAGTATCAAAGTGGACTTATTTTGCACACATGGCAATATGTTTGGGCTGAATTTTTTTTCCATGGATAGAGGATGGGGAGATGAACCCAAAGACTTCTTTTGAGGTTCACATTAGTTTTCTAATCCTGGGTTTAGGGAAGCTCACTAAGCAACCTGACTAGAATGCAAAGAATGCAATTAGACATACAATCCAACCACACACACACATAGACACTGTTTTATTATATAATGCATTCCAACCACACTCCAGATCTTTGAAGCTTTTAAATCTTGAACTCTAATGATTTGATCCTGCATCCTGCTCCACATTTCTGGTCCACCATACAATCTTGTGTCTTAATTTTAAACCATATTCTAAGGTCCAGAAAACAAGACATATTTGGCAGACTAACCATACACTGGTACTTGTTTGGCTGTGCCTTAAGAAGTGGCAGCTAGAACTAGAATTACCAGATAGGAGGGTAAATGATAATTAGAAAAATAATTGACAACACAAATGTTTCTATTTACAACAAAATGAAAAATAATTAATTTAGAAATTCCTTCAATATGGGTCAAAACTCAAAAGTAAACAAAAAAATAAAGAAAAAGATTAATAACCGAAAGGACAAATAGCAAAATGGGAAGTAAACAGCATACATAAAGAAGTGAAGATGGCTAAAAGACTAAAAGAAAGACAAAGAGAAAGATACTATTCAAGCCTCCTAGTCTTCTCTTATTTGATTTATACTATTGTTTTGCTATGCCTTTTCAAGCCTTAAATGTGCAATTATAATAATTCCTCGAAAGTTAAATAACTAATTCCATGTTTTTGAAAGTATCCTCAATTTTTCAGACTTTCCAAATATCTTAACAAAATTAGTGAAAGATCCCCAAATTTCCCCATCTCTACATGGCTAAGTGCCATTGATATCAAACCATGCTCAAAACAATGATTAGGATCATGTTCAAATTAGGAATAAGTAAAATACAGGAGAAAAACTAGACCTTACCATCCGCGGCACACTTTGACAAAAGCACATTGATGCCTTTGCTCGTATTCGAGGATTCTTGTGCTTAAGATATGGATGCAACTTTGGTAGCAAAAGAGCAGGGGAAACCCATGTAGTCATTGCTATTAAAGCTTTTTCAGCAGCCTCACATACAAATCTTTTGTCTTGTGAAGATTTGAGAAGAAGCTGTACAAGCTGTAACCAAACATCATATAAGTGTAAATGCAATTTATAAAAAAAAAAAAGGAATGACCAAACCAAGAGAGCAATCATACAATCATCATAAACAAGAGAAAAATAAATTGTCAAATATAAAACAAAAGATAAGAACTTACTAGAGGATCAACTGAATCAATTATATGATCATTGTATGCATTGAAGATGTCTTCAGATGTCATAATTGCAGTTTTACAGATGGCACTTCTTGGACTTTTCAAGGATTTCACAATGAGCAAGATTACATTCTCCCTGGACATCAACATATAATAGCAAAGAATAAGAAGTCTGAAATTTAGAATGAGGAAAGCTCCCCAATTAGCAAAGAATAAGAAGTCTGCTCTCCACTCTCTTTATCATGTGCCTGAGCTAGGGTATTTTGGAAATTCACATAAACATGAAATAATGTTTTAATAATCATGCAACCTTATGAAATTAATCAAAATACCCTCAGCAATACAAATGTCAAAGAAAGGGAGCAGGTAGTGTTTTTTCGACTGTGCACTCAAGCTAGCACCTAGAGAATAGCATATTGAAACCCAATTTTAGGAAAACATTACTCTAGATGTTATTCCAATCAAATTACATGTAAGAACCAAAAACGTACAGCATTTCAAGCATTGCTTCCTTGTGAAATATTGACAATCTACGAACATTATTGAGAGCCTCACATACCAAAACCCAATCCTTGGAGTCTAATCCTGCTAAGAGTGTCTGAGAAAAAAGAGGAATACGTTAAATGAACCGTTAGGTAGCAGACCATCAGAAGAACACTATCAGGGGTAGCATCTAATATTTCAGACATTTAGGCCAAACAACAAAAAGAGGCATCAAAGTGGAGTATCGCATACCTTGAGACTCATATCCACATCTTCTAGATCAGTAAGATTCTCAGATTCTATATATTCTACCTCTGAAGCTCCCACCTCTACCCCATTATTCCCAGCTTCGCCTTCATTTATTGAAGTGGAAGACAAAGATGCAGGATTTTGTCTCTGCCAATTGTCAAGGTTTCCATTGGTTTTCTCAGTGAAAGGCTTCATGATCCCTTTGCTGGAACTTTCATTTTTCCTCTCAGATCCTGGTAGTGTATTGAGATCTCTAAGAGCTTGCCCAGACATCCCTCTTGGACTCAGTAATCTGACAAAAGGAAGAAGCAAGAATTAAATATTAAGCTAGATTCGTAGAAAATTAAAAAAAAAAAAAAAGGAATTATCATAGAATTTATAGACAAGTTTTTTTAGCAGTGATGATCGGAAAGCTTTTATTAATCATCTCAGGAAGAAAAATCCCTACTAATACCAGGGAAAAATACAAGTGTAAATTAAAATCAGCTGAAGCTGACCAAAACACAGAACAAGAATGACCAAGCATAGGCGATAGCATGACCTAGTACAGTGAGAAGCTCATTCTACTGCTAGAATTAACTAGATGATTTTATAAACCTATCCTGAAACTCAGGAAATCATAAACTCATCAATTATATTGGTCAAAAAAAATAAACTAATCAATTATAAGCTAATAAAATATGTTGAATTATGAACAATTAATCACAAATTTGTCTCTCTTCTTCAACCTTATTTGTTAAAACCAAGGAACAGAACAAGGTCAGCAATAGATCCATTGTCCAGAAAGTGTATACATGGAAAAGGCACGTGGGCCAAGATCCAGCTGTAAAACCGACCAACAGAAGGGTAACCAACTATGCAAGTGGGAATGGTGTTGATTCTTGAGTTGTTACAAATAATCTTGACTCTCAATTCTTGAGTTGTTACAGCAATTACCTTGAAATGTTCGTTTGAAACTCACTCTTAGGAGATCACAGAGTTGGGCAGAGACCAAATAGTTGGTATCAGAGCTCTGGATCTCACACCATGCCAAGCACACGATCCAACACTTTTGAAGGAAGGACCAACCTTGTGGAGGTTAGTCTGCACAAGGTCACCGGTGAACTTTCAGAAGATCAAAGAGACACTTGCTACGGTGGTGGTTCAAATAGGAAGAGGCATGAGCGCTAGCAATCAAGAGGGAGATCAGGAGGTATCCGGTAAGAATAGAGCCGGCGGACAGGAATCGTTGGCGGTCAGGAAAACTTGACTTCCCGAAGTAGGACGGCGAAGATCCGGTGTCCTGGATTTTCAAGGTGGAACATTACTTCGAGTTCCATGAGACGCCCAATAATCAGATAATTCTGGCGGCTTCGTTCCATTTAGAAGGTGAAGCTATACTCTGGTTCCAGTTGTTCAGGCGATCCCATCCTCAAATCTCTCATGGATGGATTTCACTGACGCATTGTGTATTCGATTCGGACCAACGGGATTTGAAGACCACGATGAATCGTTGTCCAACTCCCTCAGGTGGGCACTGTTCGCGAGTATCAACAGGAGTTCGAAAGACTCGCAACTTGGTCGGAGAGGGCCCTACTCGGCTGTTTCATCGGCGGTCTGCGTGAAAGAAATCGAGGTCGAAGTCAAGACTCAAGAGTATACAATCCTCCTCTAAAATGGCTGCGGTTGGACTTGCACGATTGCATTTGCAGGAGGAGAAACTAATAAATCGACAGAGGGTTAATAACTTAAGGGCAATTTAAGGTTTAGGAAATTGACGAAATTACTGCTTCAGTATTGTATTAAAGAATTCCTCTGACAATTGATTCTCTTTCTTAACGTCTATCTCTTCGTTAACGGAAGGAGTAAAAAGACTATTTTATCCTTTTTTTTAATTTTTAAAATAAAATTTTTGATACTTTTTTCGGAATGCCGAGGTTAATCTTCCTTACCGTCAGTATTCAAAGGTAGGGTTTAATGCAGATAAGGGCAATTTTTTGCCCTGAATATTAATAAGAAATAATATTTTTATAAAATAATTAAAATAAAATTATTTTTTTAGAAAAATATCAAAAAAGGGCAAAAATACTGATCATGCGAAGAAATGTGTGCTATGGTTCCACTCTACTTTTATGTTTCATGGAGTATTCGTTAGTTGTTTCTCGATAAATCCATAAGGAAGAAAAGATATTAATTAGTCGATCTTCATTTGTCACTGCGAGCCACAGCTACCCAAATGAATGGTCAGAACAAATTCAGTGGATGGTCTCTTTCCAATGGGCCTGGGTGGTGGTGCCATTGACTTATTTCTGCCGACTTACAAACTCACAGTTCTTGGCTGCGACAAGACGACGATGATACTATTTTGTTTTTGCACCCTTCAATGAGTTCCTCCTCACCAGTGAGCCCTTTTAAAACGGGTTTTAAATGTGTCCACGAGATGCCCACATTTCAATTGTTTTACCCCCCTATCTCACCTCATCTCCATGCAAATCTCTTCACCTTCTTTTTGTGCCTGATCACTATACTATTACTACTTCTACTACTGGTATACCACCGTCAGCAGAGCTCTGAGCTCTATGCTATGGATCAAGAGGGTTTGAATGAGAGATGTCATGGCCGCAGCTTGAACTTCAATGCACCGCTTCTATCAACAAGGTGTCTTGCCACAGCTGGTTCCATCGATGTAGATGCAAATGCAAATCCCCGAGGAGTTGCTCGTGATATAAGTAAAAGGATCTCATTTTCATGGGAGAGATCTCCTGGAATGCCCAAAGACGTTGAGAAAAGCGGCCTCCTTGTTGAGGGCCCACCACCTCCCACCGGGTCGATGGCGTCCTCCGGCAAAAGTGGCCTACGATGATGATGATAAACTTGTCGACGACAACAACGATGATGAAGATGATAGTTCAACGGACTGTGATGACGACACCGGCATCGACGACGATGAGGTTTTGTCATCAGATGTAATAGATGACAATTTCTCGTTATCAGAGTCCATGGATATTGTTGATAGCATGAACCTTGGGGTGCGTGGATTGGAGCATGAAGGTTTAGAGAAGGTAGAGTCTAGAGGAAATCACTCGCCGAGTTTCATAATACGTCGTTTTCTCCCTGCAGCAAATGCCTTAGCTTCTTCTTAATTCCTTCAAAGAAGAAAATGCATAAGAGGGTTCCTTCTTCTTCTGCCTACCATTTCTCAAGTGAAGATGATGATGATGAGTTGATCAGTGATATTCAAGTCCCAAAAACATACAGAAATGAATGTCGAAGTATAATCGCCGCCCAAGTCCAAGTCTATCTTCTCTCTCTCCGTCCCCTTCGTTCTCTCTCCCTCTCGACATTCGGCCTCCCTCTCTATACGTTCCCTTAGTTCTCTCTCCCTCTCACCCCCTGTTGGTGGACCCCCTCTCTCTCTCCTCTCTCTCCTCTCTCTCAGTTGTGTTGTTCCATTTGGATCTGTTATTGAAAAACCTTTGATTTTTTTGAAGCATGAATGGAGGCTGGTGATCTTCTCTCCCAACACTCTATGCAGCTCCATCCTATATGTCATGTCCTGTTCCTTGAAGACCGCTCAACAGCACAACAATCGTCATGAATTGCACAACATATTAGACACAAAGAGACCTTTCATCACTAATTAACCTTTCTACAATTTTTCTCGATCTCTCCTTTATCTCAAGTGAGGGGGCTCAAGTTCCCCATATTAACCATGGTGTTTGCAAAGCCAGAAGGCATGTGAATCTCTAATGTAGGTCAAAATAAGGTCATACATAGATCCCCCAATGAAAAGCTCCTGATCAGAGCTCAAGTTCTAGGGTTTTGAAACTTTGCTTACAGTGGATTTACTGAGAGAGGGAGGGGGAAATTGCGCCACCTCCTCGGTAGTTTCGAACGCCAAGCCAGGAAATTCCTTCAATGGCTACAATTTGACACAATATATTGTTGGAGATATCCAAATACTTCAGCGATTCAAGGTAGAATAAGCTCTAAAAAATATCCCCTCGAAATGAATTAATCCCTAAGTCGAGCTTCCGAAGCTTATCAAAGAAATTCCTAATCCAAGAAATATAGGTTCTATAGGGAACCAAATCAAGAGAACTGAAATTGGATTTCAATGGTATGGAGATGATTTTGCAGAAGACGGAGGCCGTGACAAACCCATATTCATGTGGTGTCCGAAGAAGAGTTGCAATGGCGAATGGGAAGGAGAGAGAGAAGGGTAAAATTGGGTTTAAAAAAAATTATACATGCGTACATAATTTGACGGAATATTAGTGGATGATAACAATAAGAGTATAGTTAGCCAATTGTTAGAAACAGTAGGGGTAAAGTTAGTCAATTTCCTAAGGGGTAGTTTAATAAATGTTACCATGGGAAAATTCCCAATTAGTACACTGTACTTTGTGCTTAGTGTCACTTTGGCCCCCGAACTTTAAAATGCAACAATTCAGTACCTGAACCTTCAAAATGTGACAATCCAGTACCTGTCATTAATCAGTGGTTAACCTGCCATTAAGTGACTTGAAAATGACACAAATGCCCTTTGAGTGCCATTTAGTTTTCTTTATCAACCATCTAAATGTTGACAAAAAATTAACAGTCCCAAATCCTTGCTTCTTCCATTCAATAAAGTTGGGGTTACATTTGAGTGGGCATTCTGGCAACCCCAACTTTCTTGAACAGAAGAGGCAAGGATTTGAGACTTTTTTTTTGTCAATGTTTGGATAATTGATAAAGAAAATTAGATGACACTCAAAGGGCATTTATGTCTTTTTAAAATGTCACTTAACGACTGATTAACAACTAGTTAACTGTATGTACTAGATTGTCACATTTTGAAAGTTCAGGTACTGAATTGTTGCATTTTAAAGTTCGGGGACCAAAGTGACACTAGACCCAAAGTACAGGGTACTAATCGGGAATTTTCCCTAATATCATCAACCCAAGACCTGGTTAAAAAAAAATCCTACAATAATTGAACTCATAGAGTCCAAGCCCGTGGGGTCGCTGGCCCAAATCAACAATTCAGTGCCTCAAGCCCAATAAACTTTTTTGGGCGAAACTGCAAGCCCGTTGAGAACGAGGTCTTTGCTATAATTGCAAACAGAAGTTCAGCCCAGGCCATAGGTGTATGGCCCAAAAACCTTCCTGAGGCAAAAGAAAGCCCAATCAGCCGTACTAGAGATCTCATTGCATGCCTTTGAATGGATCCCATTCACCATAAACAAAATGAGGGTTGAAGGGGTGGTTCAAGGTAGACTTGTATCAATATTCAATAGTATTAATTAACAGCAGAAGTCATTGAATTTCATCTCCAATATTCTTTCAAAACAGCTAGGTTTGACCATTTATGAGCCCCATGTTTCGATGCATGGGTACCTAATGGTCATACTATAGTATTCCATGTTCCGACTTTTGCAAATATGTACTCATTAAAATTCAAAGGCTAAAGGCCATGTTTTCCAAGTATATCTGCATCCCCCTTGCCATTGTTCACAGAAACTGATGTCTTTTTGGGAGCCCATTGACTCATTCAACTTGGGCCAGTGATTTGTGATTGGAGCCGAATGACAATGGATTTTCTAGTGGTTGGTATATATTATCTTATTCAAGGTGTTAGGCCCACAGAGGCCCAACCTCACAGCCTCCATACAAATATACCATAATTAAATGTTGTAAACGAGTTCAAACCTGCTTCTCAAAGAGTGCGCCCCACACCAACTTCATAGTAAGTTTCAGTTGTGCATTTAGAACATTTCTTTAATTGTAAATTTTTATTCATAGCAAGATGTTCTTAATGCAAGTCTGAGATGTGTTGTGAGATCGATGTGAGGCACACTCTATGAGGAGCAGATCCAAACTCGTTGCAAACAGCAAGGTCGTCACTTTCTTACGAGCATGGGCTCTAGCCCCAATAATCCAATATTGCCAACATCAACCCATGATCAACCAAACCATTTGGCCCAATTGGCATTACATTAACTTTTGCAATACTACGTGGATGTGTTTAAAGAGCCCCAGGGCCTACCACCCACTAGACAAAGTGATCGCAGAATTCCCATTGTTCCAGGAGCCCTACATTTTGGATCTGCTACCAACAAATGTTCCCACATCCCTATCCACAAATTCACAGAATAACACCTTTGTCTATTGGAAATATCTTCACATGAATGACAAAAAAGATATTCTCAATGTACAACTGTAATGTAGTGTGGGTAGAGATGTGTGGACAAATTGTGAGTAATAGATCCAAGCCTAGGGCCCCACCCACGTATGCACAACCATATAGATACTTAAACTCTCATCAGGAAGAGATTAAAAAGATGTTACAGAATTACTTAACAAACAACACATCTAACCCAGCTTCAGCCCATATTCTTCACTAGTACATAAAGAAAATGATGGCACGTGGCGCTTCTATATTGATTATCAAGCTTTAAATAGCATCACCATGAAAGACATATTTTCCATCCCATTGATTGAAGAACTTCTCGATGACTATCATCTTCTCTAAGCTAGACCTAAAATCTGACTATCATAAAGTGAGATTACACCTACTGAACACCCACAAGATGACATTTAGGACACATGATGACCACTATAATTTCCTAAGATGCCATTTGGACCGACAAATGAACCATCAACCTTTTCAGTCTCTCATGAATGAGGTATTCCCTCCATATCTCCGCCGCTTCACTCATGTGTTTTTTATGATATTTTAGTGTACAACTCATATTGAGCTTCTCACTTAGACCACCTCAAAGCT